GAGAATAGTAGCGAAATTCGGATTGTATCAAAACGATTGTGACTTGGCTCAAACGTTGATCCAAGGTGGAGCTGTTAAAATATGTCTCGGTTTGAGTCCATGTGCATTTTGCTATTTGGATTTTCTTGGATAGTGATTCTTTGTAATTATCGAAGAGTGAATTGTTGAAGAAAAACCTGCAAGTTTGGCCTTGAAGTTGCGTATGCTCACTGCAAGGGCGAATATTTCGGTGGGTCCCAATCCTAAAAGAAAGTCTTTGTCAGAGAAAAAAATAAAAATAAATAAAAATAAAAGAAGGAAAGTTGGGCTGACCAAGTCACGTGGGTTTTCCTATTCCGCGTTGAAGTTGGCTACCGCGAGTATATATATTATACGTTCACTCCTTTGATCAAAACAGTCGCAGTGTTGGTACAGACCCTTGTGGAAGTCTTCAAGCGCCCCTTATGTGGGCGCTTGTTGTACCGTGATTGCCGATGAAAACTGGCAGCGTGGATCTTATGTGAGCGCTTGTTATGCCGCGACTGCTGATAAAAACTGGCAGCGTGGGTCATCATGCAGTGAAGTCTTTCTTTGTGAATTACATCCATGAAGTTAATGTGTTGAAGCTGAAAAATTTTTGTGATAAGAATTTGTGTATATTTCCTTCACGAAATTGACAGATTATTTCATGGGGAATTATGGGTTAAACACTACGTGAGTTATTGGATGTAATTGAGGCTTAGAAAAATACTTAGAGTGTTTGAGTGAATCGAGTGTGGTTGTAATCTTCGTTGTATTGCTTGATCTATAGTGGAATTTCATGCTGCTTTCCATGTGGACGTAGGCCACCACGACCAAACCACGTAAATCTGGTGTCTAATTTATTTTCTTGTTCTGTCAATTTTGTGGTTCGATTGCTCGCTTCCGCAACAGAATGAAATACGGCAAATTTATCATCTGTTCACTCTCAAAACGTTTAATTGCATCAAGAATCCAAGTTTTAGAATCAATAACAAGAAAATTTTGAAAAAGGGTTTGGGGATAGAGAAATGACCCATCCGGTCCTTTTGATATTCTTTTGTTTACACAATGAGCGAAGGAATTTCTTTTGCGAGATCTTGTCTTGAATGATGCCCACAACATGGGATATGTATGGTACAATGTTGTGCTGTGCAAATTTTTCTTTTAAAGGTACATTTTCACTTGGGCATAACAGAAAGTCATAAAGCCAAGAAAGAAATCACATTATACCGCGTTTTGTTCTTAGTTGAAATGAAACGTCATGTAATTGCACAATAAAATGTCATAGCAAATAGACAATCGCAAACATTATGCTTTGTTACAAGTATTATAGCTCTATGGCTGGATCGCCACTGATGACGACATCAATGCAATGAGAGGGAAGACTTTATACATTACAAGTGTTATAGCCCAGAAATTTCACGTTTTTTTTTACTTTGGCAATTGGGGACCTGGTTTGCTGCACTGTAATGCGTGGAGATGCCAAGAAGGTTGAAACAGGAGATCTCAAGAAGGTTGAGCGTTGTGGGTCCATGTTCCCAGGAATGTTCCCCATGGCTGGGCCCGGGCCGAGTCCTAAGCGCCCAAACTTGGGACTCCAGTTGCACTCGAGACTTGTTCACAAACGTGTATTTCGTAATTTTCCTGTAACAAATATCAGCTAACGGCTTCCCTATTGTTTGTCAAAGACAGACTAACATGCTTGAAAATAAGTTTCTCTGGAAAAATTTCCATCAAAGTTCTTTTTCCGTGAAATAAATGGAGCTTGAGGTTTGGACAAACTCCCTTGATTGAATTTGGGAGTGAATGTAATAAATTTGTTGTTCCCTTGTGAGCCGATGAGCATTGTTTGCACAAGAATGAAGGATCTTGATGGTGCCAAAAACATAGTTGAGGTTTTCTCTGTTTTCTATTTATTTCGGAGATAGAAACAGAAACAGAGACAGGACGAAGAAGCAATTGAAAAGTAGATGCATTTTTCTACGATTGATTGAGTTGTAGCCAGAGAAAGATAGCGATAATGTTGCAAACAGAAGTCCGAGATGGGAGCCATCGCACCGGCAAACTAGAGGGGCCATATGAGCAACCAAAGTCTTCATTTCTCCGCTCAATTCATCCCATTACGTAGACTTGTTTGCTGTTGTCACAACTTACGAAATAGATACTCTGTCTAGAACGGAGGGGAAAACTTAGTGCCGTTTTTGATAACTTACATCTCAAACATCCATTTGGGTTGAAGGTAAAGTGAGCCTAATTCTGCATTTAGATTGCAAGATCAATCCATATCTGCCGTACTCTCACATCCAGATCTTAGCTTGTTCAGATAGCGTCCCTTCGTTGCCAGTTCTCAGCGATGAAACTCATTTAGAAAGCGATCTTTTGCTTTTCTGTATTCAGTTTTCTAGATCTCGATGGTGCCGACGACGGTATATTTTTTTTTGTCTGGGGTTCTATTCGTTTTGGCATAAACAAGACAAGCAATACGAAAATATTAGGCAACAACGTTAGGCTATTTGCGCAATACAAACGCCTTATTACACAAACATTTATCCCAGGAGCAACAATCTGCAGAATGACAAGGGCCAATTCCACCTCTATTCTCCGTCCCACTAAGTGAGATTGTTCAAAACTCTAAACAGTCTCAATATCTCATGTGGAAAATGACACAAATGGTCCCTGAACTTTGGCTCCATATGTAATGTTATCCCTAAACTTTAGCCTAACATGCAATATCATCCCTAAACTTCTTATTTTTTCACTGTGGTCTCCGAACTTTTGGTACATGTTCAATTTAGTCCCTGAACTATATAAAAATATTTAATAGTGTCCTTCCATTAATTCAAGTTCATCGACAATATTGAAAATTTTAATAAAGTTCAAGTACTAGAATGAATATGTACCAAAAGTTCATGAATCACATCAAACAAATTATAAGTTCATGATGACGTTGCACATTAAGAAAAACTTTAGGAATCACATTAAACAAATGAAAAATTCAAACACAACATTGCACATTGGGCCAAAGTTGAGGGAATATTTGTGTATTTATCCCTTTCTCCAAAGCATTACACGACACAAATTACATTCCTCATAAGTGACCAAATGAAACGTTCGCAAATCATGCATTCAAAGTGAGAACAACGCTAGTATCGCAAACAAAGTGGTCCAACCTTGAGCAATTATTGGGCGAACTACAGGGGCCGAATGAGCAACCAAAGTCTTTGATTTCGACCCCAATTCGTAACATTTAATGGACTTGTTTGCTGATGTCACAACTTATGAATGGACACATTTGCCTAGAATGGAGGGAACAACCTCAACCCAACTTATCAACCACACAAGCTCTTCATCTTATCTGCTCACAGAGGGACTTTTTGTGAAGGGGACCATCATATGTTGCTATATGACCCCTTGGTTTGCAAATTTTTGGACTAACTGTTGACCCAAGTCTTCCATGCAAATACAGATCTATTTGTCAATTTTGTGAGTTTTATCATTGACAAAATCATTGACTTTGATGCATCGTAGCATGCCGCATCGTGCACGATGCGGCATCTCTTAAACCTACGCACCTAGCGACCGCCTAATAAATCTGTTTCCTCGGTAGCATTGCTCTGAACACAATCAGAAAAACAGATTTGAGAACAAGATAGAATTTAACGTACCCAATAACTTTGATCGCACATCTACCTAGAGTCTCTATATACATTAAAGAATTATGTTTTAATGTTTATCAGGTCTTTTATTCTTTATACATCGGTTGGAGATTTGTTACCAAATATACATAAGAACAAGAGATTTGCTAGGATTTGATTATAAAATTACATAAATCTATTATTTCTTGCATAGCGATTAGAGATTTGTTACCAATATAATCATAAAAATTATAGATTTGTTAGGACAAGAGATTTTATAATGTGAACATAAAAATAATTGATACATAAAACTCACACTTGAGAGCGCCATGCAGTATACGGCTTTTGTGTATTTAAATTCTTCTTCTTTTTTAAATCTTAATAATAGTTAGCCAGAAAAAATAGTGACTTCTAATTTCCAATTTTCAGTGATGAAACTTGTTCAGAGAGGTATTTTTAAGATTAATATTTCGATTTTATTCGCTAAATTTGTTTTAGATCTTGGTGCTATCAACAAAGTAGTTTGTCTCCAGTTTCCTTTTGTTTCGGCCATACACGGAGAACAAGCAACAAGAAAATATTAGGCAACAATACAAATGTCTAATTGGACATAGACAATCGCCTTTATTCTACCTCCATTCTCACTCTAAATAAGTTAGATTGTTCAAAACTCTTAATAGTCATAATTTCTCCAAACGCATTACATGACAATAAGTCACATTCCTCATCAGTGACCAAAGGAAGTGTTCACAGATCATAAATTCAAAGTGGAAACAACACTAACGTCGCAAACAGAAAGGTCCAATGCAGAGTTATCGTTGAGTGAACGAGAAGGGCCCAAATGAGCAACCAAAGTCTTCAATTTCAATCCTCGATTCGTAACATTTAATAGACTTGTTTACTGCTGTCACAAAGTTTGAATCAATACTTTTGGTCTAAAATGGATGGAATAACCTCAAATCATTTCTTAACCATACAAGCTCTTTACGTTATCTTCCCGCAAAGAAGGATTTTTTGTGAAGTGGACCATCATGCTGTCGCTATACGACCCCTTGGGTATGCAATTTTTGGACTAACTGTTGATCCAAGTCTTCCATGCAAATGACAAATCTATAGGTTGAATTTCCAGTCAATCAACCCATTGTCGATTTGGGCCAGAAGTTGTTCCTTATGTTCCCCGGTAGCTACACGGTACGGCACAACACAAAATTCTGCATGTTACATCGATCGCAAAGTCATTGATTTGACGCATCGTAGCATGAGATGACACATGTTCATACCCCTAGTCACCAAGCACCGCCTATAAAATCTGCTTCACTCTCTCGTACTCTGCTCATCAAAGCAAAGTTCTCTGTTTGAAACAAAATGGCTCGCTCGTCGTTCTTCTATATGTCCATGCACTTGCTTTTCTTGTACTTGTGGTCTCATCCTATTGGCGCTCACAATTTTTCTCGTTTTGTCAATCCTCTGTGTCTCGAGGAGGAAATGTCTGCACTGCTGCAGTTTAAAGAGAGGTACGAAATCGCCAATGTTTCTGGTGATCCTCTCGCTCATCCCAAGACTCTATTCTGGAAAAATAGTCGGGATTGCTGCTCCTGGGATGGGATCGAGTGCGACAAGAACACTGGCCATGTAATTGTTGTCGACCTGGGAAGTAGTTTTCTCTATGGTTCTATCGACAACAACAGTACCCTCTTTCAGCTTTCTCACCTTGAAAGGCTCAATCTCAGCAACAATCACTTCAACTACTCTCAAATACCGGCCCGAGTTGGAGATTTGTCCAGATTGACTCATCTTGATCTCTCTTTTTCCGTTTTTTCCGGCTGGATCCCATCAGAAATCTTCAAGCTGACAAGGTTGGTGTACCTTGATCTATGTTGCAATCAGGATCCATATACTCATACAAGTTTGTTGGAAATGAAACCGCCGGGCCTGAGAAGCCTAGCTCAAAATCTGACAAGCCTGGAAGATCTTTTCTTAGGTGTCGTCAACATGTCGTCCGAAGTGCCCAACAATCTGGCAAATCTGTCTTCCCTAAGAAGGCTGAACATGGATGTGTGCAACCTATACGGTGTATTTCCATCTGCCATTTTGCATTTACCGAAGCTGCGATATCTTGGGGTGGGTTTCAACAAAGATCTCAAGGGCCAATTGCCTGACTTTAACTCTAGTAGTCTTCTTGAACATCTGCGACTGCCAGTCACGAGCTTTTCCGGGGAGCTACCCGCTTCAATCGGTAATCTTCGCTCCTTGCGGATATTGAATCTTAATTCCAACACGTGCAATTTGACAGGTTCGCTACCCATGTCAATTGGAAACCTTCCTTCATTGAGCTACCTCGACATAGCTGGTTGCAAATTTTCTACATCTATCCCGGCATCATTTGCTAATCTTAGCAACCTTGAATACCTAGCTGTCACAATGAACCCATTCACCCCCCAGTCCATTTCCTCTTTGTCTTGGGTTTTTAAGAATAAAAAGCTCGCCACTTTGGGCCTTGGGATGATCAATTTATATGGCAAGATCCCACCTTCAATAGGAAACTTGTCTCGGCTTGTGGACTTAAGCTTGGTTGGCAACCAATTGAGCGGTACCATCCCATCTCAGCTCGTGAACCTCACTCAGCTGAATAATTTGTGCCTCCGAACCAATCAACTATCGGGTTCTCTACCGTCTTGGCTTATGAACATGACTGGACTTGTCACACTTGACCTTGCGGTCAATAAATTCGATGGTGAGATACCTTCATCAATTTCTCAACTCCAAAATCTCCAATTGCTCTTCCTTGTTAGAAACAACTTTAGCGGTACCGTTGAGCTAGACAGCTTTCTCAAGCTCAAACAATTGCAAGTGCTGCAACTATCATCTAACAGGCTATCATGCCGCCCGAGTAGCGCGAATGTTATTCTTCCTCAGCTTAGTGTCCTAGGATTGTCTTCATGCAATTTGAGTGAGTTTCCAGCATTCTTACAAAACCAAGAGCAAATGAATTGGTTGGACCTGTCGGATAACAACATTAGGGGAGAAGTGCCCTTTTGGGTGTGGAACGGAAGTTTTAATAGCATGCAGTACCTGAATCTCTCTCATAACTTCTTAACTGGTCTCGATCGATATTACCCATTCAATCCTTTATATATGTACACGTTGGACCTATCTCATAACATCTTGAAAGGACCACCCCATGAAGCACCGCCGTCCATATTGTACTATTTAGTATCCAACAACATGCTGACGGGAGCATTGCCGCCATGGATCTGCAATTTGAGTTCAGCAATCACGCTAGACTTGTCTTCTAACGATTTGACTGGTGAGCTTCCGGTTTGTTTGGGCAATATCAGCGAATCTCTCATGATATTGAACCTAAAAGGCAACAATTTCCACGGAAGCATTCCGGAGGTGTCGGTGAGGGTGACGCAACTGACAATGATTGATTTAAGTGACAACCAGTTGCAAGGCAAGTTACCGAGGTCCTTAGCCAATTGCAAAATGCTCGAGTTCATCAACTTTGGGAACAATTATATCATGGACACCTTCCCGTCATGGTTGGGATCTCTACCGGAGCTTCATGTCCTTATTTTGCGATCCAATAAATTCCACGATGTCATAGAGAGGCCTAAATCTAGTTCCACATTCCTTAAGCTGCATATACTTGACCTTTCTAATAATGCATTTGACGGTAAGTTGCCCATGGAATTCTTTCGGTCTTGGAATGCCATGAAATCTAAGATGGGCAACTTTACATACATGTACAAAAACCTACAACCATCAGCATACCATATTTACACCTACTATGGCAATTATGATTTCTCCATGACGGTGATTTACAAAGGGCTTAATTTGTATTACCCAAAGATATCAAAAGTCTTCACGATCATCGACCTCTCCAGCAATTTCTTCAAAGGAGAGATCCCCAGTGTCATAGGTGATCTCAAAGGATTGCAGGGATTGAACCTTTCCAACAATTTCTTCACTGGTCACATCCCATCATCGTTAGGGAATCTCACTGCACTTGAGTCATTGGACCTTTCTATGAACAAACTCTCGGGACAGATTCCCCAGAATCTTACAGAACTCGGGTTCCTTTCTTTCCTGAACATGTCTTACAACAATCTGACTGGATCTGTGCCGAGAGGGAAGCAGTTCGATACGTTTTGGAATGATTCTTTTGAAGGGAACCCGGGATTGTGTGGGGAATTCATATCCAGGAAATGTCGAGATTCAGGAGATGCCTTAGGACAACCTCCAACCCGCCAAGAAGAAGACTTGGGATCGCCAATTGAACTCGATTGGAAAATTGTTCTTATGGGTTATGGGAGCGGCTTAGTGATTGGAGTGGTCATCGGAAATGCATTCATCTCCTGGAAACATGTTTGGTTTGGAGGAAATTCTAGAAGAAGGCGACGGCCTAGTCAGAGGCTGCCTAGGAGGAGAAGGAACTCTTGGTCAGGCAAGCTTTTCAATTTCTGTAGGTATTAGAATTTATCGGAAAAATGAACTAGGTATTTCCTTCTTTTTCTTAAATATACTTGTTTCTTCGTGGTATCTTTACTGTTATTTATGTCAAACCGTCACTTTCTTAGGTTAATCGCCCATCACATATGTTTACCACCTCTCTAACCTAAGCTTTTCTTTTTTTGGATAATGCCATTGTTAGCTTATTAACCAAGCTCATGCGCACCTTTTTCTAGGAGTGTTCATGGAAAAGTACTCCTATTTAACTATCAAATATAAATTGCCACGTGGATTCTTCTTTATCCATGGTTCGCATCTCAAGCTAAAACCCATTTACAGATTCTAGTAAAGCGAACAATAACAAGGGTACAATGTCCTGTAACTTTATGCAAATCTAGGCTCTCATCTGCACTTCAATCATTTGCTTCGGTTGTTTGTCACCTCATAAATTGTACAGAAAATGGTCGTATTGTCATTTGAAACAAAAATTTGCATTTGGAGGTTGATTGGACAATAACCGCAACCAATGATTCTCGTGAAATGTATATATATCAGTTTTGCTTTTCGGATCTTCTTTTATGTGAGTGCAGTAGGAAATAGGATTCTTTCTCATAGTGCAACATATTATGCAGAGAACCAACATGGCACAGTTGAATTTCTTAAAAGTTTTTATTCTGTCTCCATGCTAGTCATGTACTCCAAAATTTGTACAGATATTATCATTTGATTTTTCTGTAAAATCTTCTTCTTCTTTTTTCTCAACGAAGAAAGATCATTTGATACAGTGGCTTCTTGTGGACACCATAATTTTTTAGGTTAATATCATGAAAAACCCTAAACTATTACCCCTATGATAAATTTACCCTAAACTAATTTTTCAACCACCAAAAATTCCAAACTGGTACACCTATGACAAATTCACCCCAAACTAATTTTTTTATCATAAAAAAACCCAAACTGGTATATTTGTAATAAATTATCCTCTATTAGTTTCCATTAAATTAGATAAAAATCACAAACTGGTACACTTGTGACAAACGAAGGCAAAATCCCAAACTGGTACACCCATAAACTGCCACATGTCATCCAACTTAGCACTTTGACGGTAAAATTTAACGGAAACTAATGAAAGGTAAATTTATCATAGGCGTACTAGTTTGGAGTTTTTGGTAATCAAAAAATTAGTTTTTGGTAAATTTGTTACAAGTATACCGATTTGAGGTTTTTCGTGGTATTAATCCTAATTTTTCTGATAAGCCAAGCATACGTCATTGTAAAAATAAAATAATAATAATAATTGTAAAAATAATAGGAAGAAAGAACAAACAAATAAATAAATGGAGCGAGTCCAATTCGGCCATTTATGCAAGGACCCAAACCCATTTGTCTCAGCCCATCTATCAAGTCCAATTCGCTCGCTTCAGCCCAGTCCACCAACCCAGACCCATCAACGCAGCCCATAAAGCCCAAATTTAAATTCGCATTAAGCTACTTTGCACAGGCCCATAGTCACAAGCGAAGGTGTCCGTTCGCAACAGAATCGACTCTCTCTCTAGCTTGCTTTCTCGCTCATCTGACTGACTTGGGTGATTCCTATTAAGCTCTCTTAGTCCCATTCATAACGGCAGACCATATACACCAAGAGAGCACCTCACGAGACTGACCTCACCGGAAGTTCCTCCTCTCCATAACCGAATTCCGGAGAATCCGTAATCGGTTCACCTTCTCCAGACGTCGCTCACCGCCATCGATCGTTGCTTCAAACCAGCCGTGAGCAAAGGCTCTCTTTGCCCCCTGTTCTCAGTCATCGTCACCGAAGAGCTCAAGGTGTATTCGCCATTTACTCTTTTGCCGACTCCAGTCTTTGAGTTGTTTTAGTGACCGGACTGCCTTACTCTGGTCCAATTGGTATATTTAATCGAATCGTATCTGCTCTAGTTTTAGCAAAACAGAGGCTGATTATCGTCTATTTCGTGGAAAATAAATGATTTTAGAAAATATATATTTTTTAATGATAGCATATATCGCTTACAAAAATGAATGAATGAAAAATACTTTTATTTTCAAGATAAATTGTTGTCGGTAATGAAAGTATTTTTTATTGATTAATTATCTCAAGCGACACAAGTAATTATATTTAGGAATTTTTTTTAAAATTATTTATTTTCTGCAAAACAAACGGAGCTCTGAATATAGATTGTGTGTAAATCTTATTTAACCGAGCTTCTGCTAGCGATTTGAACTCATTGCATTTTGGTGATGATGTGAAAGACGAATCGTTGACATAATTACCGTTTGTATATCGTTAGATTAAAACGTCAGCTATGTGATCGACGATTCTGTTAGTGGACCCGTGTACAAATTTGGGTAAAATTCTTGCATATCGGCGTCGGGTTGATCATCACTAAACCCAGTTGCTGTTGTAATTATTCCATTACCGGTTCGTGGATTCAAATACGTACATGTAACAAGGCCTGAGCTAGATCACGACGTTTGTGTTCTAACTCTTCAGCATTTGATCTTTTTCCCATTTATTGATGGGCGGGCATCCAATCATTGACATGCATGATATGGGACTAGAGATGGCGTACGACTACAACATACGATGCAAAAACGCGACACCGCATAGTTGCTGACCGCATTTTAGCCGACGGGATAGGATCAGTTTACCTGTGAAGCAAATGAGAACGATTTCGATCATATATCACCAAACAAAAAAAAACTAACCGTATTTATAGAAAATTCTTTCCTTTCGCGAAACAAATGCATCCTTAGAATATGAATATGAATACGAATTAGTAGGCTTTCCAAGTTTGACAACGATACACGCGTTTTTGCTCTGTTTATGTCCTAACGTAAGCTTATCACGATGTCGAGTAAACGTCCCATCAGAGTTTGGGGCACTAATCTTTAAAATAGTCTTTGCATCTCTAGCATTTTTCACGCAGCAGAAACTCGAAACCTTTACTCAGGGAGATCACCAAAAGGGAGCCCAAATCCAAACCCACTAATATATCTAGTTGAACCCACATTCGCTCAAAAGTTTAAGCCAATGAGTTATGGGCCAACTATAATATATTAATTATTTAACATCATACCAATTCTCCGATATGAGACTTTTCTAATACAATTCACATATGTATCTCAACACCTATTGATAATCCTTGAAGATCAACCGCTTTTGCAGTTCGTACAACATTGCCTTTTATTCATAACTTGCATGTTCTGGGCTGGATAATCATTTATGAGATTCACTCATGCTTTCGAAACTCTAGATTGTCGAAGTCATGCCTTCTTCAACATAACTTCATCTATATCTATTCTATGCTATGTCGAACCGGTTCCATTTCATGGACACCCGAGTGGGTGGAGAATGCAAATGATATGCGGCAGAAGTGATTTAACTATTGCTGCCTTTCAGGATAGAGATGGTCAAGCAACGATAGCAGCATCAAAGCCCATCACGAAGGGAGAAGAGGTAATCTCGTGGGGCTTAATATGGCTAGTTGGCATATGCTCGGATGAAGTTATGCCAGTTTTGGTGAGAAGCAATGCAGCTTCATTCTCTTATGATGAGCATGTGTGACCAAGAGGTGAGAAATCGTGAAATTTTGCAAGTTGCCATTTTACACATAGACAAGGATTTAACCTTTGAAGAGAGACAGGCACCGCTTGCGGACTATGGTTTCCCATGCAAGTGCACCAAGCGCCAAGAAGAATCTTAATGGACACTAATGCATAGGTATGCATCCAATGTTCGTTCGCACCACAAATTAAGGTTTAATGGTTTAACTGTGGTCGTGAAAGCTATAACAACATAAGTATAACTTAATTAAAGGTTATGTTTGATCAACCAATATCCATACATTAATTTCACGAGCCATTTTCCATGAGTTATATTGGGAATCTAACATATTTTCAATGTAATTACACAGATGAGATTAAAAAAGAAAAAAAAAAAAAGGCAACAAGAAAAGCAAAAAACCGAACCTAGGTGGACAATGGACATGGACAAATTCGTTAAATCGAATAATTGAATAGCACAGGTATATTAGCATTTCATTAAATAGGTATATCAACATCTCATTGATTTAAAAGTAAATGTTCACGCCATTTTTTATTTATATTTATTTATATACTTATTTTTTTTGTTTATATACAAAATTAAAATAGTAATAAAAAATATTTATTGAGGGTGGGTACTATATAAATTAAATGGCCGAAAGAATGTCGGTGGGGATGATTATTTAGCATTTTTTCACATATGACATGGCACGCGGTATGACATGTGAAGATGGCCTTCACCTGATAATTACTAAATGACAAGCTTGAAAGGAATCGTATTGGTCAACTTAGGCGGAAAGCTGGTTAAATAATGATGACTAGTGACCCTAGACTAAAAGAACTTCCATGATTGAAATTTACCCGGACCTTACGCCAGACCTTACGCGAAAAGAAAGAGAGTTCAACAGTGACAAAGTTGGAAAGGAGGACTTCGATGAGGGACCTTACGGGGAAAGAAGGGTGGAAGTTGCTCCTTTTTATCTTAATCGTGCCTCCTCTCGCCGGAGAAATCTTCTCATGCACCATGAAAAGATACACTTTGCGAAACTGTAGACATAACTACTTAGCAATCGGGTGTTTTTATCAATCTTCATCTTCGATTGATGCATTAGCAAATGTCTATATTTTCCATAAATGATATTTGCTCCAACACTTAATAGAGCCTATAAGCTTCCCGTCGATGACTTTTTCAATAATTTATCGATTTCTTTCGAGTAGTCAATTGCTAAAAGATTTTTTCATCAATAACTCAAGTTTTATACCGGAACCTCACAATCTTGTTGTATCGACATCTTACACTATCAATGAGTTGATAGCTCGCTGATTGTTTTGTTTCATTGATGATTTATGTTTTAACCAAATTGTGCTCTCATGAAATGAGCTTGTTATTCATTTAATATCAATTAAGAGAGTCAACTTAGGCGGAAGGAAAGAGAGTCAATTAGTGACCTTCGCGGAAA